TATTACGATTCTCGAACACGTTGAGGCGTGGGCGGAATTGTATTTGTAGCGTGCGATGCCAGCTTTCCAGTAACTACGCAGTCTTGGTCCCACTCTGAGTAAGACACCCACCACTGTCATGCTGCCAGTCAAAAGCACATTCTAAGTTGATTGTAGGGGCAGAACCACGTGCATCCTTGCATGTTCCTTATTGATGCGCGAAGTTCGTGGTCATCCCAGAAAAATGGGACCCTCAGAGAGATGAGCGCGGTAGTACACGTATGTTAGAACATATGGTCGTCCTGAAAGGAGCCTTCGGGTCTGGTAGAGCGAAGGCAATTTAAATTCGCTACTAATTATCCAATGTTCATAATGAATCTTTTCAGCATTACATACCTTCGCATCCAACACATGTACGAGTGGATATGTGGGTGCAAGAGGTGACAGCAGTCTCTGAACTCACTCAGGACTTCGAGATTGGTTCGTTTTTGTAATCTCAAATGATAAATGATAGTCCAGTGGTAGTAGAAAGCCACATTTCACTCAGGTTCCCTGCAAGTCCTGTCCTTCTCCGAACTATTTTCACAATTTTTGTTACTGCAACCACCTTATATGTATGTTATATGGTTTAACTGTTAGATCAATAAGCTGTATCCTTCGTCAGTGACGGTAAGGGTAAGGCGTGTGATAAGGTGGACGGAGTACTCTGCGGGATTCCGTCGATGAAGGGTCTGGAGTCTTTTCGGCCTCGAAAGAATTTTCCATTGTAATAGATAGGTAGATTCGCTCTGCGGGAGGAGGTGGAGAGGAGTTACAGACACCGACATTTCACCCATCGATGGTGTAGCCATGGAGGGAATGGGAGGGATAAAGACGACTCGGGCCATGAAATGAGCTAAAAAGAGAGCACTGTGGTCCTACGATGGTGATGATGGTGTAGCCTTCGAGGGAGTGGGAGGAATAAAGACCCGGGCCATGAAATGAGCCAAAACGAGGGCATGTATTCCCTACAACCTTTTTACGCACAGACCTTCGAGTTTTGTAAGGAATTGCAAAATGTGGCCTTGAGTGGCACGTATAGTACGTAATGGAGCGTAATGAAGTGTTCGTTCGCACGTAGATTTTGGAGCTTTTCCTAGAGTCGTTACCACTGCTAAGCGGGCAGTTACTGATGGGAATATCTGGCGCCACGCCAGTAGTTATGTATGTAGGGTCGCCACCACAGCACCTTCCGATCAGCACTGTACGTTACGCTGAGAATCAGTAATACACACTCCATCCCAGACCGGGGATGGCTTCGCTGGAACATAGTATGCGACACGTTTTTCGTGGGATATTTCCATTTGAAACAGCAGATGTCCTGTCTTGTGCACTTCGTTATATGAATCTCCACCAAGCCACAAAGTTTCTGAGTTAGGTCCTGATGCTGCCTTCCACAGCACGGCGTTGAAATGGCCTTGATCGCTTTCGCTTAAGTGACTTCTACTTGGGAGACAAACCTCGTCCAGAGAGGCCATCTGCCTTGGATTTGGACCTACTGCGTCCCTTGATCAAAACCAGTTGGTACGAATCAACTCGCTATCTAGTCCTTACACTTGACTGTTCCGGAAGCACATGATAGAGGCACTCACTCCCTTGAGAAAGTATTGAAGTTCGTTTAAATGTTTTCTCATGAGTTGACCGTTACTCAAGGGGAAGGGCATGTGGGTACTGTCTACAACGCCTCTCCCGTTCTCGCCATAAGGATTGGTTGAACAGCGTTGTAAATGGATATGGAGAAGGTGTCTCTAGGTGAATCACTCTCAGGGTTTATCACAGGGAAGTTCTTCTTCTGAACGCTGTGGTAAGAAGAGCAAGTCCTCTTGAACTTAATCTGCAAAGGGAGGATGAAAATCCTTATCATTTGGTCCCACAACCCAGCAATTTTTGCCTTCCTGCACCACAAGCTAAGTCGTCACAAGCTTATTAAAAATGAACTGATCGAAATCTTGAGATAGCTGGCTGAATACCACCACATGTCTTGCTGATATCTCTGACTTGAGCCCTTCTACCTACCAATCGCAAACTAGCTTCTCACCGCCATATTTAAAGAGATCAAAAAACACGATTTTCTAAAGCACCACCGAAGTGACCGACTGCCTTTCTCGACACGGAACTAAAAAGCTTCTGGAAACAAGGCAACCACTCTTTGCTGGGTTAGCAGCAAATTGCCGACGAAGGTAATTTATACTGTTGAGGAAAATTGCTTCCCACTGGGACAAAGTTTACTCAAAAAAAGTTCGAAATTGTCACGAACTTCTAGGACAACCTTATATATGCAGTTAACAAGGAAATTTGCGTGTCGCCCAGGGATCCTTGCTGTGGCGATGCGCACAAGCTATGAGCATGTAACGTAGTCCAGTTCATGGTAAATCAGTTAGACACTAGAGTTTAGACACAAGAGTCGAAACTGTACTCGAAATCCCTGAGATCGGGTAGGCGTGGCCTGTCCAAACACAGACTAATATGACAGTTATCCAAAACTCCCACGGCCTCTCTGGCTCTGGGATAAGGAGTATACTTGCATTGTCGCGTTACCCCAACGTGGGTCCCTTCACTAACGTTCAAGAAAGAAGCAGTTCAAAAGGATGATGGTTGTAATTTGCTTCAGATCTTTACATCAACGAATTCTGGGAAGATCCGGCGCTGGATTTCGACTACATGAACCCGTGCAAGTCGAATATCTCGTTTGACGACAAGGTTCTTCAAAAATTGTGGATTCCGAACACGTGCTTCATTAATTCAAAAAACGCTGCTATTCACGAATCCCCATTCAAGTAAGTAGCATCAATTATTCCGTATGGTTAGAATCTAGAAAGAACGAGAGATTACATTGTTGATGGTTAGAGGTAATAGTCAAGAGATTACTGCACTATTCAAGATAGGACAAAAATGCTTTCTTTCCCTCAGAGCACCTTATACCTCAGGCTTAGGTCAGAATCATATAACCTCCAAGATCATATCGTTTCTTCGCACCGTCCTCCCATAATTCCTCAGAATGAATGGAAAGATATTTCTGTGATTCAAAGTGCCCTAGGTGCTCTGCATCAGAATGCCCCACTTTATAGGATTAGCGCCGAATCGCTTTTAGATCCATTACGAAGCAACGTCGAAATCGCCTAAAAAATCATCATTCCAGGAACGTTTTTCTCATGGTATTCGCAAATGGCACACTGTGGACGAATTATCGGATGAAACTCACTGGTCCATGCGATATGAACCTCAAACGGTTTCCCTTCGATCAGCAGAAATGTTTTCTCACCTTCGAATCGTCAGTCAAGTCGCTTTTTGAAGTGGGCCCAGGTTCCAGGTGATCAATTTCCAGATGTTTCAGGTACAACTATAACACAGCGGCGTGAAGGTGCGACATGCATGAATCAGCCATATCCCGTCATATTACTGAAACCAATTCAGCTCCCCGACTTTGAAATGGTCAACTTTAGTGTTATTGCGGTTGAACAGGTAACCATTCCCATCCTACTGGGATTGATTTAGGAGACGAACACTAATTTCTATTGGCGGTTGCGACAGGGAACCCTATTCCCATCCTACTGGTGATGTTGCGATTGATTTAGGAGACGAACACTAATTTATTATTGCGGTTAAAAAGCAGGTAAACCATTCCCTCCCAGGGATGATTTAGAGAGACTACACACTTAATTCATGCTAACCATAAGACTTTTTCTTACAGACTGTCAGGGAAGGAGCGGCGATAAAAACGAGTTAAAGGCAGCGCACGTGTTCATTTGATGTTCCTACGCTCTCTTCAGATATCTTAAGCCATTGTTCGACATAGGGTGTGAGAGTATTTCGCAGCTCAAAAGTACGAGAGGATGGGGCCACCCGCTTGCGAAGAGATGCCGCCACCGCCCTCCTGGTTGTCATAACTGCTTTGGCTTAGCCTTTAAAGGCTGAGTCTGCTTTCATGAATAATGAGTTATGGAGCTCATATAATACTTGATCCATTGAAGAAGAAAAAAAAAAAAGCAGAAAAAATTCATGGAAAATGCCCTATACAGAACCTTATGCTGGCCAGGTGGGCGGGCGGCACCCCGTCACTAAGCGAACGGCGCTTCCTCTCGCCTTCTTGAGATGCAAAACTAGCACATCTTGCATCCTCATAGGGAGGGCTATGATATCCAGAGAACGTCAAATGAGCGAGGGCGCTGCTGCCACATGAAAGCGCTAAAAATGAGGCCAGTTACTACTGTCATGTAAATTCATAGATCGCGGGTCCCGTAGCGCCGATAAGTTTGAGGCTCATACTTCAGACATGGCTTATTTCCTCTCCTTTTCTCTCTCTCTCTCTCTCGCCTATGCCCCTTGAGTCGCTGAGAAGGTGTTCCACAAAGAAGTCGTAGTGATACATCCGACGCCGCCCATACAATCGGCGTGACAGAGCCTTCAAACACTAGTTTAGTTTGCTAACCTAGAAGTAATGGCGTTTCTCTCCTACACGAAATTTTGTGTGGACAGCAGAAATTTTAGCCGTAATTTTTTACTTTCATTAGTAGACAAATTTCTGCTCTATAAACTAGTGGGCATGGTTTCCCATTCTCCCTTGAAGGCAAAGTCCGCGATCACCCGCTATCACACGTGGTGGACAAGGAGTTCGCATATAGACGACAGGGTTCCGAGTAACCGATAGCGAAGAAACAAGCAGAAAAACATGCCAACTGCTCTAAATAGAACCCCACTCCAATCACAGTTTGTACGTGCTCAATTAACTCGATCTCTAACACTGTGCTCTCATCGGCACAGCTGTTTCCCCCGTGAGAACCCTACGACCATAGATGACGATTTTCATGCTTTTTCGTCCTGCAGCTTCATTTTTCACTGAAAGGCCGAGTAGTCACTGAAAAAAGGAGGCACCAGCTGAACCTATATTACGCTATAGTGCTACTCCCTTACAATTTTTTGCCGCGGAACCGGTACAAGGTTGTTCGTCGCGGGCCACACTACCATACCAACGCCCTCAATTTTTCATCTTCTATACCTTGATCCGCCGCCGCGACCGCTCGTTCACGTTTTGTCAGTGCTACCCCGCCAACAGTTCATCAAAATGGAAGGTCCAGTAGAAACAAATGAGAATTTTTGGCAACACCTTTTTGTACTTTATCTAAGCTCCCAAAATACAGAAGCAGCTCAAAGCATCTATGGTATGTGACCAAGGTAGGATGCCTCCTTTGACGTACTGATCTTGCTTTCAAGTAACCAAAAGTGTGGGGAAGAGGACCCCAAAAATGTACCATACATGGGGCGCCCTCTTGTAGCGTAGCTGCCTGCAGAATGCATGCACCTAGTTTGAAACCACTCCCATCAAGTGGAGATTATGCTCAATGAGGATGTGGAAGTATTCCATGAGCCCAACCATTTCCCCATCCTTTAGCGTGGATCTCCATGAATAAACTGCTTCAGTAGGCTTCCAACTGAAGCCAGTAGTGCAGTACGTTCGATAGCACTCTGTGCGGTCTGACCTGGAATTTCTCATTTTCTAACTGTTTTACGCCTTCTTAATAGACACCGATTCCTGACCATATACTTATCAAGTGGGCCTCAACGGTTTCAGCTTTTCCATAAAAGACTCACGGTACGATCACACGCAGTTTGGGTGTGTGCGACTATCATATCAGCCCCTCCCTCACCCCAGCTGCCGAAGCGTGGTGGTTTGCCTGTCCTAACATGCGCAGGAATGCAGATACAAGACCGTGAAATTTGCTAATTTCTCCATGCTCCGCCCAGTACCTTTTTGCGGCGCAGACTCCCGTTCATGCTAACAGCCGTCCGCGCGACGCCTGTCACGCGCAGCGCTCTTGGCACTTCGCCAAGTCTTGTTCTTCTTCTTCTCCCTAGCGTTAGTCCCGCGCCGTCGCAGGGTCCGCTGTCTTGTTAGACGTCGCCACTTGTTCCGATCCACTGCATCTTCTGCTGTGGCTTTCACTTCAGTGAGGTCCCTCTTGATGACGTCCCTCCATCTTCTTCGGGGCTCCTCGTGGTCGCTTGCCCTCTACCTCGAGTTCCAATGCCTTCCTTATTGGGTGGTCTTCAGGCCTCCTCAGTACATGACCGTACCATCGCAGTCGCTGCTCTCGTGCCTTCAGCTGGATAGGAGCCGTCTGTGTGACTGCTCTGACGTCCTCGTTTCTGACTCTGTCGAGTCGTGTCCAGCCGCAGGCCCATCTCAGCATCCTCATTTCAGCTGAGTGGAGCTGCCTTTCATGGTTCTTGCAGATAGGCCAGCACTCACTGCCGTAGAGCATTGTAGGCCTTACCACCGCCCGGTACACTTTGCCCTTGAGCGTTCTCGAGCACCGCCGGTCGCACAGGATGCCAGTGGACTCCCTCCATTTCATCCAGGCTGCGTTGATTCGGGCCGTCACCGCCTGGTCCACGCTGCCATCAGCTGCTAGGTTGCTCCCCAGGTACTGGAAATCCTCGACCCTTTCGATGCTCTCGCCATGGCGATCTACGATGACTTCGGCGCACTCTTCGGAGCTTAGGAACTTGGTCTTCTTTACGTTCAGCCGGAGTCCATTCGCAGCGAGCACATCCTGCCACCGCTGCACCTTGTCCTGGAGTTCCTCCCTGCTGTCCGCTATCAGGCGATGTCGTCAGCGTAGAGGATGGTTTTCAGTGGTCCCTCCATGAGTTCTTTTGCCATGACATCTAGAGTCAGGAGGAAGAGGAACGGGCTGAGGGCTGACCCTTGGTGTACCCCAACCGTAATGTTTACCTCCTTTGTCAAGCCGTGAGGGGTGCGTACAGCTGCTTTAGCCCCATCGTACATGTTCTCAAGGTCCAGGAAGGCTAGGTAGCAGGGTCGCCGCTTCTCTCGGTACTTCTCCATCAGCTGTCTGGCGATGAAGATGGCATCGGTGGTGGACCTCTCGGGCATGAAGCCGAACTGTTCCTGCGAGATCGGGACAAGTTCCCTCAGCCTTGTGTTGACCAGGCGCTCGTACAGCTTCATGGTATGGGGAGTCAACTTGATGCCGCGGTAGTTGGAGCACTCCGTCGCGTCCCCTTTCTGTTGAGATCGCGGGAACGATTGTGCTGCTCCTCCACGCATTCGGCATCCTTCCTTCAGCTGTTACGTTGTTTAGGAAGTGCGTGAGCCAACTCACCCCATGCTCTCCAAGGGCCTTCCATGCCTCTATCGGTACCCCGTCTGGACCCACTGCTTTCCCAGCTTTCATTCTCCCTAGCTCCCGGCGAACTTCATCCTTCGTCCAGGGAGTGATGGGACCTGCCGTCGCCTCTATCTGTGGGCTATCCTTGCGAGGGAATTCTTCGTTCAGAAGTCCCTCGAAGTATTCTTCCCACCTCTTCCTGACTTCGGCTGGTTTCCTGAGAATGGCCCCGTTGCTGCTCTTCACAGTCTTTACGACCCTGATGTCCTGAGCTGCGCGATGCCGAGCTTTAGCCAGGCGGAAGACGAACTTGTCCCCTTCTCGGCCTTCCAGCTTGTCGTACAGGGCGTCCATTTCCGTATTCTTGGCCTTAGCAACGGCCGCCTTAGCGAGTCGCTTGCAGCTCTTGTAGGCAGCGTAGTCTTCTGGGCTCCGTGTCTTTTGCCAGCATTTGTATGCTTCCTTCTTCTGCTTGACGATCCTCTGGACTTCCTCGTTCCAGAACCAGGCTGCCTTGTCTCCTCTGATACCACCTCGCGTCTCTCCCAGGACCTCCCTTGCACACTGTAGGATGACCTCTGCTGCGTAGGTCCAGGTGTCCTGGACTGGCCCATGTGGGTCTGGGAGCCCAGCCTCAGTATTCTTCGGCCGAGGCTATCCTTTTCTACCTGCCCATTTTCCACCACCGAATTCTTCGCTCTGCTCTCACCCTTGTCTTCTTGGGGAGGTCTATGGCGATGTCTGCCAGGAGAGGCCTGTGCTGAGGGCCCAGCTCTTCCCCAGGCAGTACCTTGATATCCTTGACGGTTTTGAGAGACGATCTTCTGACCAGGACATGGTCGATTTCCGTTTGTCTCCCTCCACTGCTGTAGGTTACCTTTTGGGTCCTCCTTTTCGCGAAGAAGGTGCTGCAGATTGCTAAGTCGCTGGCTGTGCTAGGTCAAGGATTCGTCCTCCCTCAGCGTTCTTTGTCCCTATTCCTTGACCTCCGTGCACCCTTTCTAGACCCCTTCTGTCCCTCCCAACATGGCCATTCAGATCTCCAGCTATGGTGAGATAGTCCTCTTCCGGAACCGATCTTATGGCCTCGTCCTAGGGTCAGGTAGAACTCATCCTTTTCGGCTTCAGAGCAACCGGATTGTGGTGCGTACACGGTCAGTACTGTCCAGTACCCCTCCTTCGTGTCCATTCTCACTCCCATGATCCGGTCACTGATCCTGTTCACAGTGGAGACGCAGTCCTTGAGGGATTCTGCCACCGCTATGGCAACGCCATTCCGTTTGGTGTCTGCTCCATTGTAGAAGAGTTTGACGCCTTCTCCAATCTCGCGGGCCTTCGCACCCTTCCATCTGGGGCGTTCCTGCA